TGAGATAGCTTGCATGATAAGATGTGAGTCGTATCCCCTAAGGTTATGAAACACAACGGGGATGGGTATTGTTCATTTTTAGTTTCAAGTTACACTCGTTATGCGCGGCCTCCCGATAATTACCCGTGACGTGGCAATGATCTCTTACGGAATCCCCATTCAGGGGTTTATTACAAACATGACAACTAGTTGACTTCTTATAGGCCCTCCAATCATCCCTCGTCATACACATGGGTTTCTTACGCGATAAATTTTCCCTGATTATTCTCTCTTTGTTTTGTAGATATTCTATGAACTTTCCCGCTGCATCGGGACCCCTGTTAATCACGGGCGGGTTTGTTTTCCCATCATACCTTACAACTATATATCCAAACCCACAAGGAATATGTTCTTGAGTTTTGTACGTATTACTGCGTTCATTTTTTTCTATGGGTTTCATAAGCGCTTCGAAGTCGGCGTAAATTATGTACGGTACTGGCATTTGATTACAATAATGTTCAAATTTTAATATATTTTTTCCCTCTTTAGGCATATCGATCCTGATAGCAGTCTGTCCAACACCTCTACAGTCTTCTTTATGCGCTTCTAATAGATCCTGTCTGCTGTACCCATGTAGGCATCTTTCGCAGAAATATTTCTTTCCCTTATATTTAGTTTGATCGTATAATAGCCTGTTTAAACTCTTTATCCATGTATAATGATATTTTCCATCTTTTTCGATCAGAAATGAATTGATTCTGGGGATATGTTCCGGAGCGGAGCTTATCCTGTGTACAACAATTCCTTTAGAATGTCTGAAAACATTTATAGCTAAATTATTTTGCTTTTCCACCTTATCAATTTGTGATATTGGTGTAGGTTCGTCTATACCATCGAAGTTGAGTCCATCGTTTTGGGGATAGCTAGAAGGTCTATCCAGATTTTTGTCTACGGGGAACAATGCAGATCTTATCATCATTCTTAAACAGTCATCGGATTTATTTTTTACGTTAATTATGGCTTTTTTCTTCTTATGATACGGGGGTAAATCTATATAGGATCCACCTTTGAAGGGCATATAATTTGCTATATCTAAATATAAACTATCGTTTTTATCCACACCCCAACCCGAACCTCTATTAGTCCAGCCTTCTAAAGTTTCCTGTATCCTCTGAATTGATGTATCTAATGATGCGTTTATAGTATCGGATTCGGTTATAACTTTTTGATTGCTTGGGAAATATGGTTCGGTATATTCAGTGCTATCGTCTGTGCTACTTTTACTCAATGACATTTTAATCGTCAGCTGGTATTTTATACTATGTAAATCATCTAACTCCTCGTTAATTTTGCTGGATATGATGGGCTTAACATCATTAACATCCATGTTGGAATTAATATCTATCTTCCAACCTCTTAGATATTTACCAACGCCGGCGGATGTGGGTACAAATATTAATCTTGTTGTTTTTTCTCAACATTATTAGGAACATCATCAACATCATTATTATCTAGTAAAGCGATCAATTCAGCTCTTCTCATTCGAGAATAACCTCTCAGCCCACTGTTTTTTGCTTGAGCTTTGAGTTATCTAACAGTCTGGGGTTTGTTGTATTCCAAACCGAGTAAATCGATCAATTCAGCTTTTCTCATTCGAGAATATCCATGTAGACCACGTTGCTTTGCCATAGCCTTCAACTCTCTGACAAAAACCATTGTGGTTTAATGGTATATGCAAAATGATTCATTTGTCTAATTGGTTGTTTTTCATATATCTAAATACGTATTCTCCCCAACCTATTCCTCTCATTGATGTAATCTCTCTTCCTAGCATAAATAATCTGGTTCCTGACCCTATCAGCACCGTGTTTCTTACATAAATAATAACGACCTTTGACCCCTATCCCACATACAGAACATGTATAGTTTACATTTCCCCGCCTGATGTAATAAGAGTGTATTCCACAGTAAATACCAACAGAGTGTTGGTTACATTGAATTTTTTTACCCATGAGTGTAAATCTGCACAGATTCATGGTTTATACATCTATCATATCATTTGTCTAAATGCAAATCAAATCACATCTCCACTTGGCTATTTATAGTTATTTATTTATTGATTAGCTGTCACTCTGGTTTATGCGTAGTTATTGTGTAGCTGAAAATTCCAACAGCTGGTAACCCAATTATCACGAATATGACCTCACGGTTGTTTTGTCCCTTTGACGGAGTATAAAACTGACTCATTGTTGGTCTCGGTATTGGGTCAAGTTTTTTCCCATAAACGAGGAAGTATTTGTGCATGGCAGATTCGACATCCTTAAACGTTTGAATTGAATGTCCTTCCTTACGCAGTTCTTCATGAATAAAATCTAAGCTCTCCATTCTCTGCCGCGCCCATTGTGACTGAGCTTTTTCGAGTTGTTCTAAAGCTTTATTATGTCTTTTACGCTCCTCTTCAACTTCTTTAGCGTTTGATTCCATCATACTAGAAAATAAAAAATTACTCCCCGAAAAAGCTAGAGCATTAACAATAGCACGACTTATGTTCTGAACGGGCTCCCTGTTAACGTCGGTAGAAGTCAAAATAATCGTAAATGCTAGTCGGACAGTTCCCAGAACTAACACATCGTGTGCGCCGAGAATAGGAAAGCGAACCAGAAGCGTTTGATTCTGATCGATGGTACTAGGGTTATTAGTTATAGTTACAGACTGACAAATTGCTTTGACCCCAAATGGATGCCGAAGTCTACATTGTGGGTTTAACTTGCGTCCGTATTGGGAAGACATTGTTATATTGAAAATATGTACCCTATGTTAAATATAAAAATGGATGATATTAATCTAGATGATTTTGATAACCCGAGTACAATCGAAGAGGGTACTGATGAAACCAGCTTTGGTGGCAAGAAACTTAAGATGAACATTTACAATCAACCGTCAATGATTATTACGATACCTTTAAAGATGATAGTCCTATTGTTCGTGACTATTCAAAGTTTTTAGATAGATAGAAAAGGAATATTGCGACTGTGTGGCTCTCCGGATATTGATCTTATGAATTCTCGTACTCGTAAGCCCCTAGCCTTGTCTACGATAGTCGGTAAACACGGTATCAGCACTGTTCGTGATAAATTAGGTTTTGTAGACTACTCACGACTTTCCACGAAGACTACTAAGGTTCTTCGGACTGTGCGTGATGAACTCGGTAACATAGATAATTTGGAAGCTTCCTCGAAGGTGGCCTCGGACGGACTCGGAGAAATCTTCGATACCTATTATGATAATTCCACGTTACAGGTACCATCCTCGGAGTTCAGTATTAGGGAATTACGAGGTCTTGACAAGGCAATGCAAACAATGCGGGGAGAACTCATCAATAATATAGCCAAGATATCCGAAATCGACAAGCATATAGCTTACGAGAAAACAAAACTTGAACAGGCGGGCGATGAGTTCAGAAGACGCCGCGTAGCGGAAAGATTGCGTAACTTACAAGAAAAACGATCGGCCCGGCTCGAAGCGGCTTCCAGTAATAGAAAGGCACTTTGTTCACAAATCAGTCGAATTCGAGAAACTATCCTCATCGATCAAGTCCTCAACGCTGACACTACACTGGCCGATAAAATTAAAACATTGTTCAGAGAACAGGGAATAACAACAATTGCCAGTATTTTAACCGCGTTGGGATTTATTATATCGACTTTGACTCTCGCATTAACCGGTGGCACAGGTGGTACAGGTGGATCACCGCCTAGTGATAGGGATGGTATAAAAGAGTGGATAAAAAAGCATTTAAAAGCATTAGGTTCAGCACTGGGAAAGCTCGCTGAGAAAGCCGCGTCTGCACTTCCCGGTATAATAGGGAGTATTGTTTCCTGGCTCTTGAATTTATTAGCTAAGACCACCACTTGGCTTAGTCAAAACTTCTTGGGCACTGATCGTAGCAATTGCAGTGCTGTTGTACGTATCGGCTAAGAACTATTTAACCAAATCATGAGTAAACCAGCCGCGACTAATACAACTGCTGTTTTTTCATCTACAATATGCGGTGGTACTTGTGGTTGTGCGTCAGTAGATGTTTTAGCGATAGTAGATAACTGTGGCTTGACTATTCCCGTTTCGCCTGTGATTGTTTGCGTTATTAATTCGACGTTAATATCTGAATTTATACCGGGTTTTTGTTGATCGGTAGCAATAACAATTTTATTATAATAACCTATCACTTGACCGATCTTAAGTTCCATATTACTCGGAGACATGTATAGTCCCGGCGCATAAACGTAGTCCACTTTTGATTGAGCGTACTGTAATACATCTTGATAAGGCTTTATAGACCATGGTATGTCAACTGGTGAATTAATAGCATCCTCCACATTTGCGACAAACTGTTTTTGCGCATCGAGCGCCATCCCAGTACCAATAATGGAGGTTCGTGTTTGCGATTGTGCACCGAGAATTGCCCATACATAAGATCTTATTTATACATTAACTCTTACAAATCCTGGGTTAATAAAATTATTTTCCATTTTATCATTAAGAAATTCATTCCAAGCGTCTGTTGTATCGTTTGGATGCACAAACTTTGTAACAGTATAAGGCAAGCCACTCTTAAAAATCATAATATCTTCCCTCCAATCATTATTAAAAAGTTGCCAGTTGTGATACCAATTATGAGTTTTTAAGAAAATATTATGTAATCTTACATAAAGTTTGCTTCTATGAGACCACCTAAGTGGATCTACTGTTTTCTTTACCATTTCTTTAGCTAAAAGGGAAAAGCGTTGTGAGTGAATATAGTGAATCCAGCCATACTGGTGACTGCAGTCAAATTTGCAGTCAAATATATCCATAACTCCTCCAAATGTATATCGCTGTCTCTGGGGGGATTCGGGCAGATTCCATGTACCCCATGTTTGTCGTAGGAGCAGATCAATGGAACTCGAGTGGCTACAATGTGTGACCTGGCTGATCTTGCCCTGCCAGACTGGATCGTGGCTCAGTGATGTTGAACTGCTGGTTGGTGGTAATTTATTTCAGGCCGGAATACTGCTGACTGCGTTGAACATCAGAACACTTATTTGTTTACACATTTGTCAACGCTACAACGGTACATTGTGACAGACTGAGGGAGAGAAAATGAAAGAGATCAAGTTAAAACTGTTGCGCCCCTGAACTGTACGAGGACTCTTCTGATGTCCTTTGTCTAAAAAACAGCATAATATCTATGCTCTGACAGAGGGACCCATAACACAAAAACATACTGAATGAATTTCAGATTGATTGAGAGTGATTATTTCAACAGCATAAGAATGTTACTTCAGTTCTTCCTTCGGGTTCAAAGGGGTGTATGTCTTGTCCATACCAGCTGATGGCACTGCACCTCTGATCTCGGTGCTCGGGATTGTAGTGCATGACCCACGTGTTGGGGTAGTGACTATGGTGATGATTCGGGCTAAATGGTTTTAGAAGTTGGAAACTTTGTTTTAGGAAGTTTCGACACAATGATCGAAAGAAGACAGAATACTGTTCACACTTCAAAAGTGTATTATTACTTTGCAATATCGGCACCTCCTTGTCATTATCGAAAACGTCCTTGTTCAAAACATATTGACTGTTAATACAACGTGTATCCTTAAAACTCTCTATCAATTTTTAGACTCTTTGACAGATCCACAAGTTCATTTCTACTATTGGCTGGTAAATAACCAAGCATTTGGTAAACAGGTTTACAATTAGCGTCTATGACACGGGTCTGTTCAAAGTCGAACTCTTGTCGCCATTTAAGAGATATCGATGTTGAATTTCCTTCTCGAATGCAAACTTGACAGGGTTCTCCAGTTGAAGAGTTGGTTTTGGACTGCACGAATCTTTCCGTGTCACGTGTATATACCAGTCCCACAAATGAAAACAAATCTTTCACTGTTTTTGCTGGATAGGCTACTAAATCTTCATACAAGAGCAGTTTAGTTCTGTCAGGGTGAGATTTCATCAGCCTCTTTGTAACCTCTAGGTCTTTCCGAACCCTCAAACAGTGAATCTTGGAGTACGAATCAAGGTTGTTCCAATTTCTATTGACTCCCATCTGAGACCTGATAGTAGGCCGCGGGTCTCTCACCAAGTGTACGACTTTCAACGATGGATTTGATTTCATCATTGTCTCCACTGCTTCCATTTGTAAACGTATTGTTTTGACAACAGACACGTTTGACTGCGAGCATTGGTTTTGTAAGATTGACAAGCACTGCAACATTCCAAGGACACCCGGATTGGCCTTTAAACACTTCAGATAAGGTTTTGTGTTTTCACTGTATTTGAAGTGATCTTGACTTAGCGTGGCTATGTCTATCTTGTCTGGGCGACATCTGAGGAACGCCTCGGCAATGTCTATTGCTAGTTCTGCAAAACTGTCTGAACTTGTTATCCGCCTGGAATTAAATGATGTCTTTTTACTAGCGAGTACTTACATTGTGACATGTTTGTACTTGTATATTTTAATGTAACATAAAAGGAACAATAATTATTACAATTATTACCACACACACACACACATACCACACACACACACACACCAACAAACACCAAATAAATCCCCTCAAGTGTGAATGGGATCGACAACTCTTTGTGAACAGTAAAGTGCCTGCTGTATCTGTGATGGAGAGGTGTTTGGGGTGGTCACAGGTTTGCCCAATGACAAAAGAATTAATTTCCCCAACCTTTATAAAATATTGAGATTAAATGTAACACGCACGCACGCCCACGCACGCACGCGCTGTGTTAAAAAGTTAAAAAAAATATATGAAACAGTCTTTATATGAACAGGTGTCACATACATTTATAAATATATCCATTACACAAAAAAACGACACTGTAGCTCACCTGGATATGTCGTCAACAATTTGAAATGTCAAAAACGACAGACACAAAACAGCTTCTGTCAGCATTGATATTCAAAACATGTCTGCAAAATACTGAGGACTAAAACAGGGACTATACCAAATGATTTGAACAAAATATGATTTCATGATCATCATAAAGAGAAACATTCACGCCAAGGTTTAGCTCCCTCAGCCAAATATGTTATTTGAGATAATTTAGGAGCACCTTTCAGCTTCACTGGACTGCTTTAACGAAACTATGCTTATTTTGAATTAATTATTTAGGAAGACAGAACAAGAACAAATGGCCTGTAGGTAACCTGCTGTTATTTGTTTTCAAAAGCGGGAACTAAACAAACGCATCTGTTTATACTGTCATTAGCCTATCTCACCTTTCGATAATGTTTGATGCAAATGAAACAAGGCATGTTTTATTCTTAATTCATTAAAGATCCGCTCTCTGTCACATTAATCTCTTTATATGTAGACGTTATAAACAAGCTGTACTGTCTATACTGTAAGAAAGAAATAGTTACTTACAGGCCATGAAGAGAAGAAGGACGATTCCCAAGACAGTTCTCATTTTGTGGCCGTGTTGTGCTGTGTCGCGGGTTGTGTTGTGTTGTGTCATTCTGTGTTGTGCTGTGTCGTATGTGTTGTGTCGTACTATGCTGTGTCGCGCGTTGTGTTGTGCTGTGTTGTGGTCCATTCGTCTAAGGCGTCGCAATTCGCTCTGCATTGTTGCGCCCTTTTGACACCGCCCCCCCCCCCCCCCCACACACACACACACACACATACACACAAATATCATAGCGGGTTCGAATCCCGGGTCGCCCCGGTTGTGTATTAGGTTTGTTAGTACGATGTTACCAAAGTGGTAAAAGTCTGAGACCTGCATCACTTCGGACTTTTCCTCCCATATTAAGCTGACACGCCGTGATACAAATGGAATACTGTTCAAAGCGGCGTTAAACCCAACTTACGCACTCACAATACATTTTGATCAGAAAAGGCCGGAAGAAATCCCACTGACTTCACGAGGCGAAACCGATTTTTCAATATGTCCTAACGCATATTTTGAAGTCGGATTCGAACCTCTTGAACAAAATGGGGTCTTATCGTTGGTGAGAACAACAATGTGAAGTTGCAGATAAACGGCATAAGCTCATTTCACTCTCAGTCAGGTGAGCTAAAGACATGCTTACACGTTCACATAATTTGTAACACCTTAGTTGACCGCGTGTAATCATACAACCATTCCATTCCCACCTTGATGGTCGATCAAAATAGCTGAGAAGTCTAAAATGTGATCTCCAAATCCAATTCAAACTATGAATCGGTTCAAAAACGTAGAATACATCCGGGTGCTGATCAAACATCCCCCCTGTGAGAGTCGATCCACTTCGCATGTACGTAAGTATTATAAGGTTTGTCCGGGGAATTTGGCCATTCCAAGTGTGTAGCTTTCGAAATGTATCCATCGAAAACTCTGGGCTAGTTTCTGAAATTGCAGAACAAATTTAAAGTACACAATATAGGATTGCGTTATAGATGATGAAGCTAGATTACATATATAGTCCCATTGCGTCTTATAAGGGGCAACCGCCGCTCTTCCAAATGATAAATGCTATACGGGTATCATTGGCAGGCTGCATTAGCTCTGTCGCCTATAGTCACATTGCTTTTGTCGTTAGTGCATTTTCACACTAAATAATAATATTAGCCTGCAATGAAGTGACTCTTCAAGGCGTTTTTAAACCACGTGGATTGTGTGTTCATCCATGTTATATACAGTTTGATACAATTTGTTTGTTTGTTTGTTTGCTGTTTAACGCCGCACTCAGCAATGTTCAAGCTATATGACGGCGGTCTGTAAATGATCGAGTCTGGACCAGACAATCCAGTGATTGACATCATGAGCATCGATCCATGCAATTGGGATACGATGACTTGCATCAACCAGGCCAGCGAGTCTGACCACACGATCCCGTTAGTCACCACTTACGACAAGACCTATTCTACCCCGGATCTTCACGGGTCGGATACAGTTTGGACCTGTGTAATTAACATGCCTTTCCAAGCTACGTTCTTGTGCTAAAGCTGGGTTAAATGATGTTCTGTACTCAGAGATGTTAACCTGAGTTATATGGCAAGAGAAGGCATAGTTCGGCTACAGAACATGCCTCCAAATTGCACTGGCGTAGGAATGACATTGCAGCTACCGACCAGCCAGGAAGGTTTCTGTCAGGATATTGGAATGACACAGCTCGTGGAATTATTCCTCTTGGTTGTCATAGATGCCAAGAAGGGATTTAATAATAATATATTATTTCCAGCAGAAACTGCAAAAAATAGTTTGTCTTTCAAAACTATGTGTTGAAGTTGCATTTATATTTACCTGTGTTTGTGAGATTGTTTTGCTCATCAGTTTGACGTTACAGTTGTATTTGTACGGAGACTTACCTGTGCTGGTGAGATTGTTTTGCCTGGTTGTTGCATCAGTCTTTGCTGCTTGAGTGATATAAGAGGATTTTGACTGTGGGATTCCGCCTGAACTCGAATTCATCTTTTCAGTATGTTATTTCACGCGATGGTGATGGTTGGTGAACTTACCAGTGTTGTGCTTTGACTCCCAGTCTAGAACACTCTTTGATATCTCTAGGGGTCGACTGAAGGAGATCAATTCTGCAACAAACAGCGTACATGTAGTATCTTACACATTTTGACGAATCAGTGACATTCTTCAAATGGGAAGAAACTGTGACATTGTCCATGCCAAACAGATATCATAGCACTGTGAACCACAAAAAAAAACTTAATCATTTTATTTAACTTCAGTATGTTCACAACTGAAATTTCATCTTTCAGATTGTCACATATTGCCATAATTCTAAAACTTTCTGACGCATCTTTTAATGCATTCGTGACCAACTCGTGTTATTCCGGGAAAAGCCGAATAGCGACTCGTGCCCCTCTCATGGCCATTTTTGCAAACGGGGTTCCGTCTTAGCGCAAACGTGCATACCTAAAATAATTGTCAACTCGTCGCGTTATGGTTCACATATTTTCCCCCATATATTGTATATATTTCAGATGCCATTTAAAGCACATCTGGACATGCGGAATTATACAGTATGATTGAACACATTTAACTGTGCCTTGGGTATATTTTTAGATGCAAGACATATGTAAAATCAAAACATATTTCTGAGGGATTCTTTGAAATCATACGCGCAATCTGATCGGTTTGTCGTATTTTCGCACATAACATTCATCGATAGGGGGACGAGTCTTCTTGCAGGTTATGGAAAGAGGCGAGTTGTGGCGAATGCTTTTAATGATGGACAGCCATATATTGTAAGATAAACAAATCACATCTTTACTTTACAGAAGTAAAACCTTTGTGAAAAATAGAGACATTATTTCATAATGCTCTTTTATTGTTATTGTAATTTGATAAGGGAATTATGTTTTTGAGCTATTTCTTTGCCTACTTTAAACATATCACTATTAAAAGCTTCAAATTCCAAATTGTTTCTCTTAATGATGGCTACATGTATTCCTTTTTGTGAATGTGAATAAAAAATATATGTTTTTTTAATTAGGAGAAAACAATTATACATCAAATATAGGAAAATCTATTTTCAATCTGAAGATGTCTTTTTCCTAAATTCAGCCAAAACTTTTTACAATGCTCACATCGCAGATATACATGAGTTAAAATATCATGCTCATGATCAGATTCACACAAAAACTATATAGAGTCAGCAACAAGATTCCTTTAAAGAAATCTTTTTTTTGTAGAAACAGCTCTATCTATTAATCTGTACTGAAAGTCAATATAATTAATTTTGACAGACGCATTTCCAAGGAATGATTATATCAAAGTTATGATGCCATTTTTCACACAACAGTGGAGGATCTGCTGATATATAACGTTTATCACAGAATGTTCTGGAGCTTTGTTTGGAGCCAGAAAAATGGGATTAATATCGTTTTGGCGAAACCGCATTATCGGTTGTTCGAGAAGGGAGCTAACTCCGTTTGCCTAATCGAAAGTTTGAGGTGGGCCCACATTTGAAACTAAACACACTTGTTGTTGAGAATATGTACTACGTAAACAAACCCGCATTACGAACTGCTATTTTGTCTATTTAAAATAAGTTTTTATGACTTATAATTGGATTAGAATGCACAAATGCGAAGACACTACAGCAGAAATCACTTCTACGAACATTGCAAAACTAGGTCGTGGGGTCATTAATATTCATGAGTTATTCCTTTTATGGAACAAGTTTTCGGAAAAGTTTGAGGTAATAGGCTTGTATCATGTCCGAGTTCAGTTCAGGTGTAGGCATAATTTCAGGCTTATATCGCCACCAACACTTAGATTGAAATCAGTTTAGATTAGATTGATGTGTTATGCTGGAAAAGCAGAATGAGTGGTGTTGCCTCTGTAAATTTAGTTTGAAGTAGATCTAAGTTTCTTGCTTTGTAACTACTTTTGCAAAACTATTATGCGTTATTCAAACTGAAAAGACTTTGTGTGCTTTTCGTAGAATTAACGTCACACTAAATATTTTACAAAGACGTTTCCCACCAATATTACAAAATGAAATACTATATAATGCTACACACCCATGCAAAGTAATGACAAATGTGAGCTCACTGAATGACTTTGTCAACCCAATGAAGCCCAGCGATTTACAAATGTGGGCCCACCTGTTTCGATCACTTTATGACGGAAGAAGTGGGCCTACATTTTAGAAAATGGTTATACACAAGCCAAGCTAATGAAGCTTAGTGATTTATAAATGTGGTCCCTCCTGTAGCATTCACTATGACGGAAGAACGTCTACCCACTACCCAGATAGCAGTCAGACGTTGGGCCAACGTTGGGCCAACGTTATCACTTACGTTGGGCCAACGTTGGCTATCAACGTTGGCCCAACGTCATTTTGACCGGCGGCCCAACGTTGGGCCAACGTTGGCCGAACATCGTTGGTCCAACGTTGACCCAACGTTGGGCCAACGATGTTCAGCCAACGTTGGCCCAACGTTGGGCCGCCGGTCAGAATGACGTTGGGCCAACGTTGATAGCCAACATTGGCCCAACGTTGATGGCCAACGTTGGATTACGTCTGTTTTATTCCTCACTATACCTCCCAGGCAGCCTGAAATGTTTGTACCAAGGTAGTTAAGACATCAGGTAACAAGCAATATACATTCTGCAAGTTAGATTCACTCTGAACTCTTTCCATGAAAGAACATGCCAATGAAATGCGCTCTCTTCTGGCAGGGTACCTCAGCATACATAGATTGAAATAGGGCCAAGAAAAAATTCAAAATGTTTCAAATTACACGTGCAATTTCGTGCTATAATATTTACTTTCCAAAACCATTTTCAAGACTATGTGCAAATTGTTCACAAATGTTTCAACACTATTAAAAGATAAATGATTTTCCCACAAGTTTCCAAATTAAAAACCATCAGACAATAAGCCTGCCACAAATTGAAGCGTTTAATTTTTCTTGGCCTTACCCCATACATTCAGCATTAGGGCAACGCTGAGACAAGCAAAATAGTCCATGCATAGGATGTCCTATGATCAATATACTTGATCTATTAAAAAATATGATAACAGCAACAAAATGACAATAGAATTCTGGTTTCGGTGACCTTTATTTATTTGTTACATGACAAATCAGAACTTGGGCTGAGTGGTTGAGGAGCCTTTTCAATCCTCAGATGTCAGAAGAACTTAACACAGGGATGATCTTCAACTGTATCCACGGTCCGTGTGCCTTGGTAACTGAATAAAACAATGACACAATTATAATAATGATAAGGCAAGGGACATTTTTTACATACAAAATGGTTGCCTTCCCCTAAATAATAATTTGATGTATGAAAAAAAGTCTCAGCAGTGCTACTTCCACCCATCCAAGTCATAAAACTGTTAAAAACTGCTAAAACTGGGAAGGTAGCATAGACAGTAATACCATGATGCTCTTGAATCATAGATAGGCAGAAAAGCTATTAACACTAAATGAACAAGAGTAAAGACTCATTCATTTTCCAAAGTTTAAAACATAGAAAAAGCATAATTATCAAAATCAAACTTTGCACTGCACATCAAGTTATAGGTCTCACAAATGTTGAAGAAAATAATTCTAAGTTCAAAACATGAAACAAATCATATTTTTTTCTGAAAATACACATATCAAAATCAACATTTTCACTGTACCTCTTTTATTACTATAGAAAGTGTTTCTTAAATTTGGAAAGAATCCATGCAGCAGTTCTCAAGTTAAAGGTCACACAATGTTGATATAAAAAAACAAACATTTTAAGTTCAAAACATGTACAAAAATTATATTGTTTAATAAAATACACATATCAAAATCAACCTTTGCTGTGCATCCCATTTTTTAATATAAAAGTGTTCGTTAAATTTGGACAGAATCCATGTTCTCTAGTAGATCTCAAGTTACAGGTAGCACAATTGTTGAAATAAAAAATATTTTAAGTTCAAATCATAACAAAAGCTATATTTTCTTAGAAAATACACTAATCAAAACCAAACTTCACACTGCACCTCTCCTGTGGGTGTAGAAACTGTACCCATAATTGGAAAAGAATCCATGAAGTAGTGTTCAAGTGATAGGTCGCACAAAGGTTGAAATAAAAAGAAATATTTGAAGTCAAAAACATTTAAAGAATCTTATTTTTTTCAGAAAATATACATATCAAAATCAAACTTTACTTTGCACTGCACTCACACACAAAAATGTCTTTGGAAGGAAGGACGGACAGATAAACTTGATCACCCGCCCTTTTAGATTGGGGGTGTAATTAAATAAGAATCATCTAAATTTTTATTATTGAAGATGTTTGAAATATATTATTGCATCATGTATACCTTTCTGGCTGTGATGTGATGTAAACAAATATGCTTCCACATTACTGTAAACTCCACCTGAAAGAAAAATAGAAATCTCAAAGTATCACATTCTCAAATAAATCAGTAGAGATAAATCTGATTTACTAACAGTATGATGTGAGTGGTGTTATTTTTGGCAAATAGTTTTATCAGCCAATAGAAATCAACTGTAATTATTCAAAAGCAATAACTTTACCTTTCTGCTGTACCTCACAAACTTGTGATCAAGTAAAAAATAATGCAAAATAGCATGCATATGTTGGCAAAGTTTCTAAAATCTGATGTGAAAAATAAACAAATAAATGAAAATTATATATTGCCAAATAAAGAGTTCCAACGTTGGAAGCATGAATGTTGAATAAGATTATGAATTGACCTTCCAATAAGTAATAGAAGTGTTAACACTGGTATTAAATTAAAATCGTGATTTTAGATTCTATTTTATTTTAAAAATATAAATATGAATATTTTCCATATAAATATGCCATGATATCTAAGTTCTAACATTTACAAAGATAGTAACGTTGGAAAAATTAACAAAATGCGATATCGGAGACAACACCAGATGAAGCTGAAACAGCTCTGTAAATATTTATTGAAATATATTATTCTCAATCGGAAATGATTTCATGACTATTTCGTACCCAATCTTATCCAATACGTTCCCTTCGTTCTAACCATTACTCCCCCGCGGTATGCACAAATAAAAAAGCGATTATGCCATTATCAATCCCTTTCAAA